CCCGCCCCCTCTGCTTCCCACCCCCCATTCCATGCCCCGCTTTGCTTTCCTGGGGCCGCTGTGGGAGCCCCCGAATCCCGAAGCTCACACCACTTGTCCCAGCAGCTCTCGGGGCCTGGGAGAACTGGTGGTTCGTCACCCGCGGGGCAGAGCGATTTTCACGCGTGTCGTCCACGTTGTTCTCTTCCCTCCAAGGTTCCCAGTCCCAAGCGCAAGTTGGAAGAACCCGTGCTGGAGTTCAGACCGCCCAGAGGGGCGATCACCCAGCCGCTGAAGAAGCTGAAGATCAACGTGTTCAAGGTTCACAAGTGTGCCGTGTGCGGCTTCACCACCGAAAACCTGCTGCAGTTCCACGAACACATCCCTCAGCACAAGTCAGACGGCTCCTCCTACCAGTGCCGCGAGTGCGGCCTCTGCTACACGTCGCACGTGTCGCTGTCCAGGCACCTGTTCATCGTGCACAAGCTGAAGGAGCCGCAGCCGGTGTCCAAGCAGAACGGGGCCGGGGAGGAGAACCAGCAGGAGAACAAGCCCAGCCGCGAGGACGAGGCGCCCGACGGCGCGGTGTCAGACCGGAAGTGCAAGGTGTGCGCAAAGACGTTCGAGACTGAAGCTGCCTTAAACGCCCACATGCGGACACACGGCATGGCCTTCATTAAATCCAAAAGAGTGAGTTCGGCCGAGAAATAGCCACAGACCTTCCTGTAAGGAGAATCCCTGTCCACATTGGAATAAAAGAGACATTTTTGTTACAAAAAGTTTGCAGTATAATAGAGTTAACAGTACTGTCTAGGCTGTTGCAATATATTCTCTTCCAGTGTACCTTCTCCACCTGGTCGTGTATATCCTCCTCGATAAGTATGAAAACAGTATTTGAGTTTCAAAGAGTTTGTATATATTTAAATGAATAACTTTTTATACTCTTTGTTACATGTTTGTATCAGTATTTAGTGAAAAAATGTTTTGAGGTTTTCTTTTCTCGGTCTTTGGTTTTTTTGTTTGTTTGTTTGTTCCTTGGGTTTTGTTTTTTGTTTTTTGGTTTTTTTGGGGGTTAGACTTTTTCTTTTTGTACTGTTTCTTTAAACACAGAGTTCTTAGCAACAGGGGCAGTTCCTGAATTCAAATAAACCATTTTGTATGTTACAGATTTGAATGGGTTAACTAATTGCAGGCTAAGATAATGCCTTTTTTAGTGTTTTTAATTTTTAGAATTCACTATATAAATTGTAGGTATTGTGGGTCTCAAAAACACTAGGGACTTTTAAGTGTCTTAGCACTACCCTCAACGTGCCTGCTCTAAGCCGGCGAGTGCACCCGTCCCGGGCGACCGCACTCCGGCGTCTGGCATCTTCTTCCAGGCCACGCCCGACCGTGTTTAAAGCAGCCTGCAGGTAGCTTCCTTCCCAGTGATGGATCAAAACGTAGGCCAGGCCTCTACAGTAAAGCGCATGGATTATCCTCCGCTCCATTCCGGAACGGGGAAGAAGGGCGTTGCCAGGGGAAAACCAGGGGCTGGGGGTTTTTCTGGGCCGATCTGCAAGGCTGGCTGAAAGAACACAAGGAGATCAAGTCACCCAAGGGCTGGACTACTGTAACAGTGACACATATGTAGCTAGACCAGTAGATTTAGATAGTCGAGTTTTTGCCATGGAATTTATTAACTCTACGAAGACACAACTAAAAATATCAAGTATTTCTCTGGCTCTTGACAGGAACAAAGAAAAAAAACTCCCAGTTGACTTAACCCTTCTGAACCCTTTGCCGTCGAAAGAGCTGGCGTTTCCTGTTCTGGGGTGCTACTGCCAAACGTTCTGGTACTTGGAGTTGAGATGCACAACTCCACCTCCGACCTATCAATGCAGCAACCCGCGTGTCGCGATCGGCCGCTCGGTCACGCGCTGAGCCGCCCGGCCTCAGTTCGGTCATTTCAATAAGTCTCTTTAATATTAGTAGTTCCGCTTTATCAAAGCACAGCAGGGGTGGGCACTCCTCTGTCCCTTCCGTTTATAGTTCTCTGGGAGCGTTCCTATTTTTCAGTTTTCGTTTCTGTGTTTTCTTTGGCATTTTATACCTTGTATTTATCCCGGAACACGTTTTGTACTTTTTATTTTTACGAAAAAGGAATTCCGTTTTGTGTATATATAGGCACTTGCATGATACGCTGTAGTCAACGTTCGGTTCCTCGGAAGGTCTCGGCGCTGTCCGCTGTTACGCACTACATCCGTCATAACTGTATTAAACACATTTCGTATGTAAATAAACGTGGGACATTGGCCCTTGCGCTTCTGTGAGAGAGTCATTGATGGTGGGTCTCTGACATCTTCGTGAAGTTTAGGAAGCGAGTAGTCGCAGGGACAGGACTACAGGATGTTGCAGAACTCTTTCCCCCTCCGGAGAATGGCACGTGCGTTCTCGTTCGCGCTCAGCTCTTTTGTCGCTTTCTCGTTGACTGCCATCGATTTCGTGGGTATAACGCAAGGGCGTGATTAAGTATTCCCACGCTTGAAATTCAATTGCTGTTACTTGTTCTATTTATACTTGTATTGCTCTAAGGTGTATTCATAGCACTTTCATGTGTTTCTGCATTTGAACCTTGCAATAAACCTGTGCGGTGGGCCGCACGGGTCTTAATGGTCTAGTTTTACAGTTGAGGAAGCTGAGCTCCGATTCCGTTCTTTGCCTGAGCCCTCACAGCTGGTAAGTGGCTTTGCGTATTAGAACCCAGACGCTCTTGCTCGAAATCTTAGCGCTCGCTCTCTGTGTTTATGTACATATTGACAAATATTCATTTACTGAACAATAAAAAGTATGTGCGAAACACGACACTAGAATTTTTGTTTGTGGCGCTATCTGGCTTTTATAAGAGAAACCGGAAGTCTCTCTACTCTTAAATCCCCCAGAAATGCTTGCTAATGTAAAGTTAGCATCTCTAAATGCCTAGCTGAGCATCCAAGAAAGTTTCGAAAAATGCCCTGAGATCCAAAAGGAAAAAGCAGTAGAGATCCAGAGTAGCCCAGCACACAGGGCTGTAGCCACGGGAGGGAGCCTGGTTGATGGCACCTGGAGAGCGGCCTGGTGAGCGGGAAGACAGGTCGTGAAGAAATGACCTGGAATACAGCACACAGGTAAGGAGGTGGAACGTACGGACGAGCTTCGAAGTCCAGAAGGACAAAATAACAAGACTCCTAGGAGTTCCAGGAAGAGGGAGCGGAATTGGGAAGGGCCTCTGTGGACAATTCTTAGCCATTAACGGAAGACGTGAGTACTTGGGGGTAACATGGTGTACGTGCTGAACAGAAGCCCACGGTGGGACTCGTGAGTTGCACCCATTCTTCCTTGGCGGTAGACCTGGATAGGGCGGTGGATGCGAGCATTTGGGAAACGGGGCATATTCAGACCAAAGGCAGAAACTGGGGCATGCTCCGTGAATTCTTAGGAAGCCCGTCTCCTCTCTTGGGTGGGGAGGTGGAGCTGAGGCTTACAGGATAGGCTCAGGCCAACTTGTAAAGAGCCTTGAATGATAGATTGAGGGGTTTGTACTCAGATAATGGATATTTGGACAGGGGAGTGGTATAACCAGACTGGTCAGTGGCCGTGTTTAGGATGGATGGTGGAGGGGTGTTTCAACCACGATAGGTTAGATTATGCTGTGGTTACAACCCTAACTCTCAATGTCTTAAAACAGCAAGGCTTGGGGCGCCTGGGTGGCTCAGTCGGTTAAGCGTCCGACTTCGGCTCAGGTCACGATCTCACAGTTTCTGAGTTCGAGCCCCGTATCGGGCTCTGTGCTGACAGCTCGGAGCCTGGAGGCTGCTTCGAACTCTCTGTCTCCCTCTCTGTCTGCTCCTCCCCCGCTCATGCTCTGGCTCTCTCCTTCAAAAATAAATAAAAACATTAAAGAAAATTTAAAACAGCAAGGCTGGTTTATTGGTCACCTTGGATGTTTGTTGTGGGTTGACTGGAGACATTGCTCCAAATCTTGTCCCCTTATCCCTCTGTCACAAAAGTTGCTGGTTCCCGTGGCAAAGGAAACGTGCGATGAAATGCTGTGGCCCAGAAGTGATAGATGTTATTCTTCACAGCTCATTGGCCAAAACCAGTCACGTGTTCCCACCTCCTCACAAGGAGGCTGGGAGTACCATCCTACCAAGCGCCCAGAAGAGGAGGCTGCACATATTTGGGCAGCATAAATGGCCATCAAGGACCAACGTTTAAATCGGTATAGGCATGGTGTCGACCCAGCCATCGTCGTGAGGACTCAGCCCAGGGTGGGAAGGTCGGCCTGGAAAGGAGCTGTGCTTATAGGTGGCATTTTGGAAGTGGTACCAAGAGAGGATTCCGTGCCGTGGAACACAAAAGAGGGAACCAGACTTCTTTCTTTTGAGGTTTAGATTACTTAAATAGAAATACGGAAGTCAAAATGACAGCTGGTTATGGGAAAGTTTGCACTCTAGATATACACACAAGGTATGTTTTTGTTGGACGATTTTATTTTATCAGTAATTGAGTAACAGTAATGCATAAAGAAGAATGCCAACAAGGTGATGAAGACTAATAAAATGAAAGGAAGACATCTGCTCAGACTTCCTGGCGTAGACCACTTCTTCCTCCCAAACACATTCTCTGCCAATTCTTGGCTCCTGCTCCAGGAAGTATTCCAAAGAACAACTGTTCCGCCCCGAAGCTCCGGTGGGCGCTTCTCCAGGTCAGAGGGCTAGTGAGTGCTGTCCCAGGGTCTTTGACCAACAGGGAAATTTACTGTTGGAAACTTTGGCCAAGGTAAATATATTATTTCATGTTACTATATTCATCATGCTGTGAGCACTGGTCTTTTGTTTTAGAGAGAGAGAGCGGGGGTCTAGAGGGGCAGAGGGAGAGAGAGAATCCCAAGCAGGCTCCACATG